TGTTTGTTTGATGTTTGTTTGTTTGATGTTTGTTTGTTTGATGTTTGTTTGTTTGATGTTTGTTTGTTTGTTTACACTACTGATGTTAACTGAAACTCTGGCGTCTGATCAGCGCTGCCTCAAACACTTCCTGGTTCTTGACACGATGTTGAAGTGTGAGGTGTCGTTCAGTTTGTGTGTCTCACCTGAATCATGAAGTCGTTCTCCTCGTCCACCTCACACACACACCTGACCACCTCGCACTCCTCCGTCTCCATGGCAACGGGCCACGAGGGCGTGTCCTCCCCGCTCTCGGCCGTCAGAGTCGACCAGTCGCTGCCGTCGTCGACTGAAGGGAGGAGAAACAGAAGTTCAGTGTGTGAGAAAACAACAACGTCCACTTTGAGATTGCTTTAAATATGACTGAAAAAATAAATCAAGTGTCTGTAGATAAAACAGGTGATAAAACAGGAAACAGGTGATAAAACAGGTGATAAAACAGGTGGAATACTTCTGAAGGTAAACCTGCATGAATCAAACTCACACAAGATGCTAACTGTGACTATCTGACACGTTAGCTTCTCTCAGCAGCTCCAAGAAAAACCAACAACAGGTTGGAGACAAACTGTTGTCATCGTCCTGAAATAATCACCAAGTTTTTACTTGGTAAAATTAAGTTACACAGTTATTTTAAGGTGTTGCTTTAATGGACTGATTAAACTAGTGACCAGATATCTGTTGGTTAGTGAACTCACAGGAACATCACCAGCTGGAGGAGGCTTTGATAAATGTTTATTCAAACTATAAAACTAATACTACAACTAATAAAAACTAAAGTAAAACTAAGCATTAAAATGTAATAACTAATAAAACTTTCAAAGCTACCGTAAAAACTAATTAAAAGTGAATTAAAAGAAAAAAGAAGAAGATGAAAGTAAACTATAATAAAAAAGTTAAACTGTTCTAACCTTGCTGTGACAGCGTCAGACTGACTGGACGTGTCTCTGATGCTTCATCATCACTGGAGCAGAACCCTGACAGCACAGAACAACAAGCAGTGACGTAAACAGGAAGTGACATCATCTTTCAGTGTCTGACTTTGGGAACAGGTAGGTGTGATGTCTACCTGGCAGGCTTTTCTTCTTCTTCTTCTTCTTTTTCTTCTTCTTGAGTTTGAGCCGCAGGAAGTGCTTCCTGTCCTTCCTGTCCTTCTTCAGCTCTGCTGACAGGAAGTCACAGGGTTGAAACGTGGTCAGGTCGGGTGGACCCCGGCGCTGACCCGACCCACCTGCTGTGGCGATGCTCTGCTCTGTATGGTCATGGCGACAGCTGCTCTGGGTCTCAGGCTTCCTGCTGCAGGTGAAGTCGCTCCCGTCAGAGGACGACCTCTTCCTCCTGCAGGACATCCAGCATGGACGAGGTTAGACCTGCTGTTAGCTGGGGTCCTGCTCAGGGCTTCTGGACTCACCTGTGTGGTTCTGGGTCCAGATGCTGGTCTGAGTGGTAGTACTTGATGTGGTAGTGCAGCAGGCTGGCCTTCCTGAAGGACTTGGGACAGTCTGGAGACGGACACTTGAAGGGGTTGTGGTCCAGCTCGATGGACAGGATCGGAGGAGGCTGGTTCTTGATCACCCTGTACACTGAGGCCCAGGGGACAGAGAGGACAGAGGACAGAGGGGACAGAGGAGACAGAGGACAGAGGGGACAGAGAGGACAGAGGGGACAGAGGAGACAGGAGACGGAGGAGACAGAGGGGACAGAGGAGACAGAGAAACAATTTAACAAAACACTGAAGTGAGCAGAAATGGCTCCTGTACGGCAGGCTGTTTTACCATATAATCAGATCAAACTCTTTCTTCAGGTGTTTGTGACATCACATTAATAAACATGAATGTATTTCCTTTAAATATAACTAAGATGCTGAAAAAATCTATTTGTGTCGCTGAGATGAACAGCTGTTGAGATTTTCTCATGTTCAAAAGCAGGAAGTGATGTCATAGGGGAGCATCTTCATGTAAACAGAGCCTAGCTAACTGCTAACAACATAGATTGTAGAGAAGAATCTGATGTTTCTTTAGATTATTTTGAGTCTATCAGAGATCGAGTTCAGAGTTCTTTAAATACAGTATAAAGCTGTTTTCTCTGACTGTATCAGAAAGACATTCATGTGGCAGAACTTACGTGGCTCCCGGCTGAACTTGTGTGTGGTGGGCAGGTGGGCCTGACGCTCCAACAGGACGTCTGAGGAAGACAAACATTTTACTACAAAACAAAAGCATCTACCTCAGAAAAACAAAAGATTTAAACTAAAACAAATAAAAATTTAACTTTAATATGTGGAGTTAATGGGATAAAAAACAATCTGATATTTTACAGAAAACAATTACTTCTTAAGTTTGGGCTTTTACAAAAATACTAATTATACTATTGCTTTAATTATTTGAGTATTTTTTTAATTCTGAAAATATGTAATTATTATTATTGTTCTTTTATGTCATAATTTTATGTCAGTTTATGAATTTAGCAGCACTTTTATCGTTTCCTTCACTGTTTTAAATACGTTTACATTTTTACGTTGTTTTTCAAGCTTTGTTTACCTCTGTCTACGTGGGCGGGGTTAGGAACAGCAGGCAGGGCGGAGTCAGCTGTGATTGGCTGACTGTCAGCTTCATCACCTGACAGAGACACAAGCTTTTATTTTGAAATAACAGGAAATGATTGTTTACAAAGTGAGGGGTCAAAGGTTGCTCTACTGTTACCTGTTTTCTTCTTCGATGGTGGTTGGGAGGATGAAGCCTCCATCTTCCTCTCCTCCTCCTCCTCCTCAGCTCCCTCCTTCTCCTCTGATGTCATCTTTTCCTCATCGTCTCCCTTCTTCTCCCCCTGGTCTTCCTCACTCATCTCCTCCTCCTCCTCCTCTTCCTCACTCTCGCCCTCCTCCCAGCCTTCGCTGCCCACAGCACTCCTCTCAGACCTCTGCTCGAACAGAGACACATTTGGACCAACAGGAGTTCTGATTGGGTCAAACCGACCAATGAGAGCGCATCGTTTCTCACCTTCAGGAAGGCTTTGATCTTCGTGGGCTTCACGGTCCGGACCACGCCGTCGTAGAATCGCACGGTGAAAGAATCTGAAACAACACAGCAAAGGTTCTGCTGAGCTCCGGTCGGGTTCTGTTGAAGAACTCGGCCCCCCGTGAAACAAAAACTGACTTTAACTTTTATTTTTTTACAGTTTGGTTTGAGCTGTGGTGCTGCGCAGCAGATCAAACCTCACCGTCTTTGTTGACCTTGAGGATTTTTGCTGGGTAGAAGCGACAGTCTGTCCAACAGGCCAGAACCTTCATCCCTGAAACAAAGGTCTGCGACAGAACAGGAAGAACAAGGTGAGCAGAGGTCAGGTGAGGATGATGAGGATGATGAAGAGCACGTACCGGGGGGGACTGCGGGGGGTTCAGGCCCTGCCTCCTCAGGCTGACTCGCTCCAGGGGACGCAGGTACGGAGAGCTCCAGTGGAACCATTCGTCGTGGCGCCGGCTCCAGCGGCGGTAGTGGATCAGAACCCGCTCCTTATCGTAGTCGATCTTCTCGATGGTGGCCGGGTACCTGAGAGGACGACGAGCAACACAGGTGTTAAAAACTGTCAAATTTAACTCATTTAACTAATTTAAAGTGATCCATGATTAGTTGTAACGTTATTTATTTGATAAACATTTATTTTAACTGTAAAATAAAGACTGTAAAAATACTGTAGGCTGTTTAGTTTCTATAATTTATAAAAAATATATTTTAACACGGACGGAGCCATTT